TTGTAATCAAAGAGTGTTTTTTTTTCTAAAAAGATAATATTATTTAATTGAATGATATTTCAAATATAAAGTATGACCTAGACGACCCAATTCTAGAGTACGTATTTATCAAATGTTTTTGAATTACAAAATATAGATTTACTTATGAACAGAAACACCTAGATAAGAACCTCCAAAAGGAAACAATTTATTAAATTTTTAATAAATGATATGTTTTTTGTGAATGAAAGACATGGCAAGACATGATGGTTTTTTTGATAAATTCACCAAAGGAAAATCAAATGTAATTGAGTTATGCATAGGTAGTGTTTAATTTTTGAAATCAGACATTATTTTTGTCTTTGCTAGATTTAAGTAATGTATATCTCATAGACATATGCCCCATTTGTGTAAAATATATGTGAGTATGGAATTTTAAATGACATTAATACTCGCAATAATTTAGGTAAAAAATAAAGATATATAGAGAAAGAACAGTGATCGGACCCTTGAGAATTCCAGAGGTGGGATCAGGTGCCTAGGGGGGAGTAAGCACCCCTTGTTGACCGACCACACCCACCGTGAGCCCTGTTTTGATCACCTAGCCGGATTAATCCATAGTAAAATTTTGCATAAACATTTAATTCAGAGAATTTGTGTCCCTCGCTTAAGGAAAAAAAGAGCATGCACGGATCTAGAGCGGGGGGGGGGACCCCCGGAATTTCAGAGTTATTAAATGTATATATTGAAGCAAATAAAACCAGAAGTCTCTGATGAGACTGTAGCTCTACTGGTTGTACTTATAAAGGAAGATTAAAGTAGCACTTGGACTTGAAACTTTGCAACAGCAATAAATAGTATAATGATCCTTGGTTTAGTCTGTTTTTGTGGCAAGATTTACTGCAATCAGAATAAAACTATAGGAGGAGTAGCCCTTTAAAATAATTTTACAGAAATTTCGATTTAAGTAACCATGGCAACATCATTCAACAAAATCAAAAAGCAATAATGACAATTATTTATCTCAGTGTAGTCTATTTGTATGCCAAGTTATACTGAAATCAGACAAAACATGTAGGAGAAGTAGCGTTTTGAAAGTATTTCAAAAAATTTCTATTTTTAGTAACCATGACAACATCGTTCACCAAAATCCAAAACTGGTACAGAGAATTATGTATCTTAAAGTTGTCTACTTGTGTGTCAAGTTATACTAAAATCAGACCAAAACTGTAGGAGGAGTAGCATTTTGAAAGTATTTCAATGAAACTTCTATTTTTAGAAACCATAATCCAAAACGGATACAAAGAATTATGTATCTTAGTGTAGTCTACTTGTGTGCCAAGTTATATTGAAAAGAGATCAAAACTGTAGGCGGAGTAGCGTTTTGAATGTATTTCACAGAAATTTCTATTTTTAGTAACCATGGCAACACCGTTCATCGAAATTAAAAACCGATGCACTAAAAATCAAAAACCAATAAATAGAATTATGTATTTTATTAGAGTCTACTTGTGTGCCAAGTTATAATGAAATCAGATCAAAACTGTAGGAAGAGTAGGATTTTGAAAGATTTTCACAGAAATTTCTATTTTTAGTAACCATGGCACACTGTTCATTGAATTCAAAAACCGATATACAGAATTATGTATCCTAGAATAGTCTACTTGTGTGCCAAGTTATATTGAAATCAGACTAAAACTGTAGGAGGAGTAGCGTTTTGAAAAATTGTTTACAGACGGACAGACAGACAGACGGGTGGACGACGGACACCTTTCAATCGCATAAGTTCTTCTGGTCTCTGACCAGTACAGCTAAAAATGACTTGGACCCCCCATCAGAAAACGTGGACGCCTGTTAAGAAATGTTGGGAAAAGAGTTTAGTTTTTTTTTTCTTTGCTTTTGAAGAAATTTCTGAGTTGGATAGAAAATTATTTAGATTTGATTGCTTATTCTTTTAAATATGTACAGAAGATTCCTTTTATATAAAATATTCATCACACTGTAATAATGATTTCATGAGAAAGTTTGCATACGGCACACATAACTGCTTGTATGAAATTGGATGTTATTCACCACTTCTCATTGGCCTTTTTCTAAATATATATTTTTCGTTTTACCAACAAATACCTGTGTTTTGTTCTAAAATATCATAGATTTCCACTGTCCTTGTAAAGTCCAATTTTTCGTTCTTGACACGTTCGATATTGTTAAAATTTTACACAACACACTGTGTCTAAGAATTTAGCCTTTACTAAACAGTTCTAACAAATTTACCATGTAAAGTCCGCCAACAACCTGTATTGTATGTAATAACTCTTTAACAATTTAAGAAGGTTTTATCCTCTCTGTTCATAAGGCTATTTATCGTTTACAGAAATGCCCGAGTAGATACGATTGAATTCTCCACATGCGCCTTTGCTAAAAATAGTACCAAGCGACTTTTAATGCAAACGGGCAAACGGGGAGTAACTATAAACTTTGACCGTAATCGATGCCAAGAAATTTCCAATTGACTTTTGAAAAAAATAATAAAAAAACTTGACCCCCCCCCACCAAAGCAAAACACACACACACACACACAAACCAGAAGTCTCTGATGAGACTGTAGCTCTACTGGTCTGTACATGTACATGTAACAAAGAAAAAGTAGCACTTGGATTTGAAACTTTGCAACATGCAGCAATAAATTGAATTATGTATCTGAATGTAGTCTACTTGTGTGCAAAGTTATATTGAAATCAAACGAAAACTGGAGGAGGAGAAAAGTTTTAAAGGAATTTTACAGAAATTTCTATTTTTAGTAACCATGGCAACACTGTTCATCAAAATCAAAAACTGATGCATTGAATTATGTATCTTAGTGTAGTCTACTTGTGTGCCAAGTTATATTGAAATCAGACCAAATCTGTAGGAGGAGTAGCATTTTAAAGGAATTTCACAGAAATTTCTATTTTTAGTAACCATGGCATCATCATTCATCAAAATCAAAACCGAAGCACTTAATTATGTATCTAAGTGTAGTCTACTTGTTTGCCAAGTTATATTGAAATCAGACCAAAACTGTAGGAGGAGTAGCATTTTAAAGGAATTTCACAGAAATTTCTATTTTTAGTAACCATGGCAACGCCGTTCATCAAAATCTAAAACCGATGCACTAAATTATGTATCTTAGTGTAGTCTACTTGTGTGCCAAGTTATATTGAAATCAGACCAAAACTGTGGGAGGAATAGCATTTTGAAAATTCTTTACAGACAGACAGACAGACGGAGGGACGACGGACACCTTACTATTGCATAAGCTCTTCTGGTCTCTGACCAGTAGAGCTAAAAAAAAATGGGGCGGGACAATTTGAGAGGGGCGGTTGGGGCTATAGGGAGTTGTGGTTTAAAATTTCATTGCAACAGCTCAAAAGCTTCTTGAGATATCGTCCGGAAACGAAAGTGTTACACACAGGCAGAATTGTATGAATTTATGACCTTGACCTTTTGACCTCAAAATCAATAGGGGTCTTACTTAGGCCATAGGGAATTGTGGTATAAAACTTCATTGCAAAAACTCAAAGGCCACTCAAACGAAAGTGTTGAATACAGACAGAATTATGAATTTATTGCTTCGACCTTTGGACCTCAAAATCAATAGTGGTCATTTTTAGGCATGTAGGAGTTGTGGTATAAAATTTCATTGCAAAAGCTCAATGGCCTCTCGAGATATCGCCCGCAAACTAAAGTGTTACACACAGACAGAAATACAGACAGACGGACAGATGGACCCAAATTAATATCCCCAACTTTCATTGAAAGTAGGGGACCAAAGACAATAGTCTAATAATATGTATGAAAGATGACGAACAAAATACGACACAAGGATAGGAGGTATTGCAAACAAGGTCATTATAACGAATTTTCGAAATGCTGACCTTAAACAAAGTTGTTGAAATCCCTGTAACATCAACTTATTTGTCAGTAACTTGTCTCGGTATTAGAATTGATCGTACTATTTTTCACTATATTTTGTATTTTGGTCTAGTTCTTGCAAAACAAAAGATATATATATATATATATATATATATATATATATATATATATATATATATATATATATATATATATATATATATATATATATATAGATATATATATATATATATTTATATATCTGCCTTGTGAGTGCAATTGCAAATCAATCTACTAACGACGTATTTGTTTATACAAACGACGTATTTGTTTATACAAATCCCCTCTAAAGCTTGATAAATTCAAAAGTTGTGTGTGATACCAGTAGTTATAATATATTATATTAACCTCCTTTTAACTTCCTACGGAAAAAAGTAGGGGGTCAAATACACAAAAAAGACATAATAATATAGAATTTTTGTACAAAGAATTGTGAAATAGAACTAACACTTTTGAAATAAATTTAGAAAAACAAGAAGGTCAACAATATTCCTTGCAAGTATGATTTTTATTTACATTAACTGGTATTTTGCATTCATATCTATAGTCTATGCACTAGAAAGTGTTGGTCATGTCTTTCTTCCTTCCCATTGTCTTTACTGTGATTGTCTATAATATTCGAAGAAAATCTTCATTATTTTTTAAATCTGCTGATTTGTTCGTTCTTGGCGTTGGCTTAAAGATACATTTAGTTTGCACGGCCACTTTCTTTCTACCTGTTTGGATGATATGATCAATCTTAATATAACATTTCTTGAGTTTGCATTGTGGTAAGTTTCTCGATTATAAAACATATGACTTCAGATATACATTATCTAAACCTGTTATCAAACAAGATATTTAATAATTATGGTTCGAAAATCGTTGATTGCGAAACTGGTTACACTTGAAAGAAAAATCATCATCTGAATTACAGCAAAAATATGAAATATTCGTATAATTATTATTAATCATATCAATATATTATTATATTTATTAATAATTTGTTCTCAACTGAAAGCCCTTTCCCTTGATTTCATAGAAATTCTTTGAAATCATGAAAGAGTTTTTGCAAAGACATATAAACAGGTATAAAAATAAACGCAAGGTTATTGGTTGTGTTGACAAGAACATTGCTATCTGCAAAAGACACGTTTCATTCTGGATTGAAAAATGTCGATCACTCTCTGGAAACATTTCATATTTGTTCGAACTGAAGTTTCTTCAATTTGCACAAGGACTTCTTTACATAGTTCTTCTGTGTTGTGATTCATGGTTAACGATGTTTCAAAGAACAGGCACTTGTGAATGTCGGCAACTTTAATGGCATCTGAAAGAACAAAAAATGAAGGGATACAAATGAAATTAACACTGAAAGAAGATTAAAAAATGATAATCAGAAAACAAACTTTAAAAATTATTCCAATGTGTTAAACTTACCATTCGTAGACACCTTCCGGTATCGAATTAAGTCAGATTTGTTTGCTACAAGAAATATAGGCACATCTTCTCGATGACTTCGACGAATATTTTGCACACAAAGTTTGGCAAACTGGAACGATGCTTTGTCGGACACAGCAAACATGACAACACAGGCGTCCGCGTCATCTATGTCCTGTGAAATCTAAAGAAAAATAAAACTTATCAAAACTCTCCTTTACTTCTTTAAATTTGTAACTAAAGAAAATGTTTGCAAAATCAGGTAATACATGGTATATAAAAACAAAGACTCTCACCGTTTCTGGACATATCTCCTTATTTTCAATTGTTAAGCACATCTCGGAGTTAGTATTTTCACACAAAACACTGCTGCTTTGCTGCCCTAAAAATATGTACTGTATGTGTTAAAATTTCAAATATATAAAAGCCGATGACCCATAATAGTTTGTAAAAAATATTTTGAACAAGTTCGTTAAAAAGAAAGATTTAAGATAAAAATCTTAAATTAAAAAAAATATTCCGAATTGCGAAAGTAAATAACTGATTAAAGTCTGCAAATTACCTTGAACAAGTTCTTTTAGCGATTTAAATAAATGCAAAAATGTCGTCTTTCCAACATTCTTCTTCCCATAAACTTCAATAAGTTTTGTTCTTTCTTTTCTCTCCTCGTAAGAAGTATCCCTCCATTTCAAGAATTTGTCTTCTTTGGACAAGGTTGTTGTTTCCTTACTCTTACTAGGCCTTTTCTGTCTTCGAACTGCTATGCTGCTTTTGAGAAGAAGACCTCTCGATCTGTTGTGGGTAAAACTTCTTTTATTGTGGGCATTTAATGCATCTGAACAGCTGAATCTCCGATTTTTAAGATTGGGCCTAATATCTCCAGCTTCAGGTATTTTGGAATTGTGCATAGATATTGATCGCGATTTGCTTTCATCCCCGTTGCATTTTTGTTGATGCACAAAACTACAAGACTTCAAATTTTCTCCATCTTCTAGCGTTAAATTGTCTATAGCTGAACACAACACACCTTTCCGTAAGGAAGAAATGCGTCTGTGATTCTTTGTGATCGGCATGTTGATGCAATACCATCTTGACTGTAACTTCTATCTTTTATAGGTAAGCTGATAACGTAGGCACGTAAGAAAAACAATTAAGGTGATTATATATTTGATGAGATATTTAAAATACGATAATAAACAATTACCATCACATTAGTTTATTCACTGGTGTGAATATACAATGCATGGCATTTGGATATAATTTGCTTTTCTTGTGCTTGTTTTCAAAATTTCAAACAAGAAACACACACAAGCAGAAAATATTATAATGGAGTAACTTTTGGCATTATTACCAAAACAAATGAATAAAGCATGTATCAATATATATGTTGTGTAGCTAGCTTTAAAACAAAGGGTGTGCAACAGATGTGTAACATAAAGATTAAAGTCGCTGACATAAATAAAAAACTTGATTTGGTACACTAAAAATACTTCACACCTTTCTAATTCAATAAATGTGTGTAGTCATACAGAGATCATGATGCAACTTTACACATTTTGTATTGTATCACTTACATGCCAAACATCATAATGATCATATGGATAAAAGACAAAAAAAAAACCTTTTACATATACAATTATTCTGGTAAAAAAAAGAAACACTTAAACTCAAGGAATCAAAGGTCTCAGGGACATACGTGTGTAATCACACATCATCCAATGATGAAACAATCACAAGCAAAATATCATAATTCTAGACTGAAAACATTCTTTTTCGGACAGACGTACTTGTTTAAATTCATTATCAATTTGCATTATTTGGAGGTCAAAATACATTGTTGATTTATGATGTAGCATATACCTCTGTATGCCAAATATTTTATAAAGCACTGCCAGAAAGAAAGATAAAACAGTTCTTTCTTGGACATGCTTTCTTACAAATCTACAAGCAATCTTTGAGTTCAAAGGCCAAGGTAATATGTAGGTCATGTTGGGACATAAGACATCCTTCTACAGCGACACATAGATTCCAAACACATGAAGCCTTGACTGAAAGATAACACAAACTTTCTGCTGAACATATTTCCATAGTGACAAATTGAGAAATTGAGAAAAAAGCGATAATTTTACTTTGGAGAAAATGGGCAGGGTCAAATGTAGTTTATTTTGCTTCTTCTTATCATAAACGTGCCAAAGAGTGCAACTGTTTTGCCATAAAGGTCATCCATCACTTTATATCAATGATTTAATTTACTAGTATTAATGGATTTAAAACATATGCTTTTTTTTTACATCTTTTTTACCGTACGATTTCAAAGAATTGAAGTAAAAGTAAGCTTACAGATAAAGGTTGATCTGCTATGATGTCCGGGCATCCTGTCCATGCCTGATTTAGTCCGCCACAATCTCTGCTTGGTAACAACGTCTCCAGATGGTCGCCCACCTTCCCCGCATGTTTCGACCCTAAACTCTGACATCCCCAGTTGTTGGGTCGGCAGCAGTGGCCAAACCACTTCTCGTTGGTTCCAGACATTCAGATCAGCTCCTATCGTCTGTGCCATACTCAGCACGACGATTCTTTTGCTGCATCTGCTAGTTGTTGCAGAGCAATTCTCCACAATGAGGACACATTCCAACACTGATTTAGAAAACTCCTAACCCCGACAGAATTGCCTTCCAACCCATAAAAGCCCCAGCTATTTGAGCTCTGCTGCCAGCATTCTTCCGGCATATTCAACCTCTCTTCTCACCTCCTCTGAACCATCCTCCTTCTCTTGGTCTTGTTAGCATTTGATTGTGGAAATGGTAGTATGTGACACAACCAACCCCTTCTCTGCCTTTACATGTGTTGCCAATAACTAGTAGTATGTCCCGCAATTTTCTGCTTGATCTACTGATGCCACTGCCGACCACTTGCGTTCTGACCTTTCTATAAATCACGGACCTTTCGCTCTAATGAAGTTCGTGTAAAGTTAAATTGATAAATAGGATTAAACAATTGCAAGATTTTGTGTTGCTTATGGGGTGATAAAAAAAAACACCTTGGAAACATAGGAGAATATGCATGAGGGGCTTTGACGATTTATTTTAACAATTAAAACACAGCTTTTTAATATCTTCTTTTATCTTTATGTGTATATAATGAAGAAAAGAAACAAGTAAGTACTAGACGATGAAGCACATGTTGTATTTACAAAATGAATTATTGCGTATATTAAACCAGATAGCAAACAAATTGGTGATAATGATAACTGACAGTTAGTATGATGTATTGTGAGATGGTTGGATGCACGAGGAGTTTTTTCACATTATTGCACTAAAAGGTCTCACAGTACTACATTCGTAATGGAGTACCGCGCAATTCAGATGTGAAATATCTATAGCAGTACGTGATATTCGCTTTTGAAATAGATAAAGGATATACAAAATTGATTAGTTTATTTGAATATCATTTATTTTAAATACTTAATTGCTCCTGTTAATATTTACCTTTCCGACTGTTTTATCTTTCAATTGATAACTTTTAAAGTAAGGTGTGATAATTTCTCGATATTAACAACTAAATGTAAATTTCGCCAAGTAAAAGGTCAAGTGCCTTTAGCATGCATGTCAATTTCCCGGGGTGTCAATGTTTCTGAAGTCAGTGGGCATGTACTATGGAAATTAACATGGAATGCACCGTGTATTTCTATTCTATTAGACAGCCTTTTTGAAAATTTAAAATATTATCTAAAATTAAAAATTACTTATAATGTATTGTACGATTTTTCCATTTGTATTGTATTTTTCTATCTGGAAAATTATATAATACAGCTGGACTGGAAAATTACATGATACAAATTGAAAATTATAGAATAGAAATAGAAAATATTGGAATACAAATGAAAATTTATACAAAACAAATGAAAACTATACAATTCAAATGGACAATAATGAAAAGAAATGTATAGAATAAAAATCTCAAAATTATACAATACAAATGAAAAACTGTACAAGTGAAAAATTTTACTATTCAAATGGAAATTTATGGAAAATAAATGAAAAATTATAGAATATATCAAAAGTATGCGATACAAATGCAAAATACAATTTAAACGGACATTTATGGAATATAAATGGAAAATTATAGAATACAATAAAAATTTTACAAATGGAAATTATACAATGCATATGGAAAATAGTACAATAAAAATGGAAACGATCTAATATTGCAATGGTTGACATATCATATATATATATATATATATATATATGTCTTTAAAAAAACTAGTCTGCAATGAACACTTGCTTTCCATAGACCTAACCGTGTGAAAGCTTCAAGATACCGATGAAAATCAGACGACAAAGCTAAAATTGATTGGTCAAAAATATGTATGTGTACGTGAAGTATATATATTTACAGCAACTTTCAGTTATCGTTCTTGACCTCCTTATATGGAAATCATCCAGACCTGTGAATGCTCTGGCATACCCTGGTCGTCATTGACTTTGCTTTCCTTGCTTTTTCTCAGTGAATTTTCGAGGTTATTTCTCTCTGCTGGAGGTTCTCACATGTAAGGTTCGGCGTCCACTACCCAAGGAATACTGTAAATGTCAAAGTTTCCATCATCCAAGAGTTGAAGAGTTGATTTATTTAACGCCATAGTCTTTTCGATCTATTTGTCCATACGATTAGCTATTCAAGAATTGACACCTCTATGATATCACAGTATCCCGTTTTCTAATTAGTGAAGAATTTTACTGACGTGGGGGATTTTATCACTTAACTACGACTGTTTTTGATTGAATGAAACAGTAAATAATACGTAAATAGCTTATAATTGCGTTTTATTTACAAGGAAGTAAGTAACGTGAAAAAACACCGAGTTTTGGAAATATCAAGAAATTAAGAAAATTAAATTATATATTCTGTTAAAAAGAGACTATTTCAAAAACTTCTTATGGAGCCTGTGTGATCAACAAATTACCCAATAGATCCATCTAAAAATATATAATATGCATTTTTTTCTATCCATAAACTACATGTATAGTATTTAAATAAAGAAAAAAAAAACACATGTTGTAGCTATAATATTTAATGCAGTTTCCTATATTTTTACACGGAACTCTTCTTTTTCAGAGAGCTTAAATAGTCGGAAATTTGCATTTAAGCACATTATTTTTCGATAAAACACGTTGTCCAAAATAGTACCGGATATCCTCGTAAAAATATAGAATAGTAGAATAGAATAATATTCATTACAAAATCATTACAATTATGGGTATTATACATATAACATACATAATTATAGATAAAAAATACATACAATGAAGAGTAATTCTTTCAGTTAGTACATTAATGCTGTTTCATATGAAGAAATACGATGTTATAATTAATCTAAGATACATATGCATATTTAATCTATACGTAATGTGTGTGTTGAGCTACATGTGTAAATCAAATTTAACTGCAATGGACAGCAAGAGTCAGTGCTGAAGGATAGTACATGTATATAATTAATTATGTTAATCCATCCACTTCTGCCTAATGCAGAGTATATGTTACAGTAAATATGATAAATTTAAAAAAAAATAAATGTTTTTCTGGCTCTTCTTGACATGTTTATTAGATACCGGGTAATCATAGAGTGTTATTGAACTCTACTCACTTGGTTTTAGTTGGTAAGGTAAACATTGAATTTACTGTGTTTGTTTGTTTTCTTGTTTAACGCCCCTTTCGAGAATTTTTCACTCATATTGAGACGCCATCACTTGCCGGAGAAGGGCTACAATTTTTAGACATATGCTCGGCACTTAGGGCCATTAAGCAGTGAGGGATCTTTTTCGTGCCAGTACCTACTGCGACATTGGTCCTTGATGTATACGGTCTCATCCGAAGGACCGGTCTCCATGTCCCACAGTGGGATTCCAACCTGCGACGTAAGGATCAACTCCTTACTCCGTAATTCTAGAGCAAACGCTCTAACGTTTCAAAGCCGCCACGGGGGCGACTGAATTTACCGTGCATCTGTTCATATTTTATGATTCATACTTTAAATTATCTCACCAAAAACACAGTCAGTAAATACGTGTAAAAAGTATTGAAAAATTCAGTACATACATGTATTTCCTAACTGAAAACAGTAAATACACGTATTTCCTAAGCAGAATAGAATTCCATTTATTTCCTAAATGTCAGGAAATACATGGAATCCCTTATTATATATATTTACTGCAACATATATACCAAACATACAGATCAACAATCTAACATACAGGGGGCCGTTTTACAAAAGACCAAAAACTGTAGTTAAAATGTAATTTTTTTCAAAATTAATTATGCTGTTTGAAATCGCTGGCATAAAAATATCTTATTATGTTCTTTTTAAAAAGATTAAAACTGTTCTCAAATCAATGTAAAATAGAGAATAATATGCAGAATTAAATTTTGGTCTTAGTCATAAGTTCTTTTGTAAAACGGGTCCCAGAAGTAGTGAATCCAAAGTAAATAAAAGTCGATATTCATATGTGACTTTGAAATTGTTTAACTACATATGACTTATGAATCCACACACTTTGTACAGGACATCAACATCCTCAAAGTTCATCAACCATAAAAATTGGTTATTTATAGATAGATTGTTGAAAAGATGACAACTCAGTGAAATTGTGGACAGTGATCAATTTCATGAAATTGTGGAGAGTAGATTAATTCTTGATAGACTATGGCATGAAAATGAATGTCATCTTCTACCTCTTTTAATAAACAATTGGATCATATTCTCTCTTCACATTATTTCATAATGTCATGATGTCTACCTTTTTCAATCATCAGATTGTGAGAAGAAATTCGAAATTTTGTTAAAATCTTTCTTTTCTCAAATTTTCTTCAGATTATTAAATAAGGTTCTAGTTTTGTTTAACTGTGCAATAAGTACCCAACTTCCCACAAGTATTTAACTGTTCCTTCCTTTAATAACCTTTTTTCAAAAAATATGAATTAAGAATGAATTTACTGTGACATTTAAAGGATGACGTAAACGTAGATGATTTAATTCAGATACGTCTTTAAAAATGAGGAAAAAGTTTGTTTTTTTTTTAATGATTTTTGGGAGAAAAGTTTGTTTGAAGATCTGTCCTTAATTAAATTTAATACAAGTAAGCAAAAGCTGTGAACATTTAGGAAATATCAACAGCTGCTATAAATATAAAACATAAAACCATTTAATGGAAATTCAGAGGTACTTTCAACAAAGTCGTGCATAAATTTCAAAATATTTGACACTTCATCAAATCAACAAACTATACATAAAATACTTTAAAAGTATGATTAAAAGCATTTTTCCTATGGTTATGAAGATGGAATATTTTAAGGACAATTCAGCGAAAAAAAGAGTGTGTAGATGGGTGTGTTTGCGTTTTAACTAATTTTAATCAATTATCCATTATATTCTGTGGCAAATACACATTTTGAATGCATCAGAAGACGACTACATTATATGATTATTGCTGTTTTTTTTTTTAAACATTAATGCGATGATTTACATGTTGCAACCCGTGGAGTTTAATATTCACTGAGCCCGAATAAAGGAA